CCCTGGAGCCTTCTCTTCTCCAGGCTGAACAGCCCCAACTCTCTCAGCCTGTCTTCTTAGCAGAGCTGCTCCAGTCCTTTGTTCATCTTTGTGGCCCTTCCCTGACCTGAATTCCATCCCCATAACTCCATTCCACCTTTGTAGGCAATATATTTTATTGCACTGTCCCCCTGTTATACTATATAGGTTGGTCTCTGTATTGACTGGTGGATTTGAGAAGGTGATTTGATGGAACACCATTAGCCTGAGAATTAATGAGGCTAAAAATGTGGCATTTATCAACTTTACTTGCCCCTGCCTAGCTCATAAATTCCACAGCTTTACCAAAAAATCTACATTTTTTTTCTGGCTTCAAACCTCTCCTGCTCCTCCATTAATGACTCAGACATAACAATGGTAAGTGGTAAAACTTAAATTACATACAATAATGTTTTTTTCCTGTAATCTTCCACACTGGTATCTTAAGTATTTTAGTTACAGTAAATTCAGAAACTGGTCAATTCATCAAAAACAAACCCTTACATTTATCTGAAATTGTATTAAAGCATTTTTAAATTCTGAACCTTATCTGCACAGCATTTAGAGGACAGCTAAGGATACATGTATTTAACAGTCTGCCCCAGACCACCACCTGTCCAGAACATTTTGGTTTCCTCCCTCCTCCTGCGTCCTCTGTTGAACTGAGCTGTATCTAATGGTGGAGGAGGGGATACGTTCGGAAGCCACTGAGACCTACTGCAGGTACCTAAGAAAAGACATGACAGGGATGCAAAGAGAAAAAGGACAGATCTGCTGAGTGGCTGGATGCCAGATAAAGCCCTCTGGTTATGCTCTGATCCTGAGCCTACCAAAGCATCTGGGTATTACTTATGAAGGTTGACTTAATTGGCACAGTTAGTGGAAGCTGTGACTATGGAAAATTAGTGTGTTATTTTGCATACACTAAATCATGGGAACCTACAAAAGGTGGAAGTGTTGCTCCTTTAATCACATGATCAGAGTTTCCAAGCATTCTTCATCATGATGATGAAGTAGACATCTGTGTCAATTGAAGCACTGACTCCAGCATAGTAATTCATGAATTCTTCTGTTGTGACCTGAGATAGAAAGATTTAAAATAGGAAAATGAACCTTTATTTCTTTAATACTGTAGTAACTCAAACCACATGTTGAGAAGAGCTCTAAATGAAGAAATCAGCACCTGCTATATCACGTTATTTCTAGTGAGATAAGGAATCCAACTGGAGGAATGAAGACACTACAAATTTGTGTAAGTTTACTTCTTTGCTAGAAATAAGAGCTCTTGTCCTCCAGGAACACTTGGAAGGAAATGAATCATGTAGAGTTAAACTACCCTTACCAGAAGCTGAAGATAAAATCAGTGTTGCACAAGAAGACAAATGTTTTAAGGCTTTTTTTTTTCCAGGGATGTTATATTCTAGTTCTTTGTATTTTTATTAATAAAAGTGGATGGGGTTTCTAGTGCAATTCAGAGTCAGGTAGAAACTTTATATCCATTCACTAGAGAGAAAATGTCATTGCTCTAAATCAATCTCACTTAAAGAAGCCAGCATTCTTTCAAATACCTAAGAGTTTTGACTATCTTTTGTGGGTATTTTGAGGTTGCATTGGTTTTTAAATGACCTTTAAAACAAAACAAAACAAAACCCCCTAAACAGTAACAACAACAAAAAAAAAACAAACAGATTAGCAGATATAAACAGTACATGCCTCTTCTAATTACTTAATTCTTTAACTGTATAGGTCATTCTTTCAATAAATATCACAAAGAAAAATATTTGCTCCTACTGCATTGTGCATTTGACAGCTAAGTAAAATGTGACAACGGGGGGAAGAAAACACCGTAGCCTGTCCTTCCACCACAACAGGCTCCACCTTTTCCAGAGGCACCCAGCAAGATCACAGTGAAGAGGACCTTTCTAGCAGACACTCAGCCTTGAGACATTTCTGCTAAAAATATTTTAGGTCTTCAGTTCATTCCAGCATCATTAGTGACGTCTGATTCAGGCACAGGAAAGTCCCAGTCAGTTCTCAGAAGAAATTACCATCAGTTGGCTAGTGTTGGAATGACTGAACAAGAAGTGGATGCTCAGAGTAATTTTTTGATAAGCTCAAGCCCTGCAGTGTTTGTGAGGTGCAAAGCACTGAACTTGTCAAGGATCATCCTAAGGACTTGCTTCATTTGTTCATGTCTGACCTCAGCATGAAAAGCAGGAACATTCTGCTTGAGATTTGCTGGACCTCACCACTTTGAAGAGAAGGAAGGGGACAACTCATTCAACTGATATCTCTGAGGATGACACAACAGAAAAAGGGATGAAATCCAGCTCTCCCAAGTGCATAGGTATGCCCAAGGGAAATAAAAACCGTCACCTCACCTGCCTGTTGGAAAAAAAAACAAGTGGAGGATTGGGCATGGTAGCCAGCC